CATGGGGTATTGTATAACAACAGTCCGGCAGCAAGCAGTCATTACTAGAGTTTGCGGGAGGGTATCGCACGAAGACTCGTAACATCCCCCCGTAACCAAAGATACCATCCGGCGCGGCCCAGAATCAACCATTTTCAATGGGAGCGCGGCTATTCTAGCATGGCCAAAGGGAACAACAACGCAATCCAGGAGCAAGCGAAGACAACGCCCAAGAAATGCTTCATCAACCTCCGTTGCTTGCTCAAATTGCACTGTGGCCTCTAGAGAAGCATCAAGATTGAAGACTAGCACCTCCAATGAGTGCTCAAATTGCACCAAAGCCTTCGCAACAACTGCAAGATCAAATACGAGCACCTTAGCTTCTCCGCTGCGACGCGCTAGAGCCTCCCTGTCAACAGCTAGAGACCAAAAAGCGAGGGCTTCAACAAATCAAGCAAGCAACAGAGCCTCCGCACATGACTCAAGGTCGAAGACTAGCGCATGAGCTTTTCTACATAGACACACAAGCTCATCCCTAATGGTAGCCAGAGAAGAAAGAAGCGAAGGCAAGAGCAAGAAAATAAGCGCAGTTAGCAAAAACTTTTCGACCAAAATTGTAATTGAAATGAGATTCTACAATCAAACAAGTACACACTCAGGATCCAAACTTCATTCAAAAGAAAACAAGTAATTTGCAAGCGCCCCATTGGTCAAAACACAACAATAGAATCATACAAAAGCCTGAAGGTAGCATACAAGGCGAAAGCACCTAAAGTGCAAAGTTCTACTATCAAAAACTACAAAGGCACGAAGGCCAGACGGACAACATAACTGAAAACATAACAAACTAAGCAGGCCCTCACTAGGCTAAAGATCGAACAAACTCTGCACGACCATCATCAATATCATACAACACAAAATCAAACATATCCTAGAACGAACGATGGGGGAAAGCATCACGCCAATATTCTCATAGCTCTCTGCTGACATAAACACCATCTCACATCATTGTTAAAGGAAGAACATCTTGCGCGGGCCCTTGAGAGGCAACCTACGCAGGACAAATGTACATTAGGTTTACAAACTCCAGGAGAATACAAGAAATGCGACCACGTGAAACCAATAGTCCTGACTAAACCTAAAAGCTCACCATGCATTGGTGTTCCAGATTGTAGCGCAATAGCTTATAAAAATCAACTTTCTTGAAATGATGACGGGCACGACCTATCAAGAAAGGAAAACATAACGAATAGTAAGGCAAGATCAACAAAAAAAATGCGATTATAACCTCCTATCTAGGTGTAAAGAGCATGAAGAGACTCCGTCCACCCACTTAGTGTGTTGGCCAAATCTTCACCCGAAACATAAAAGAAATGCAAGAATCAAAGGGTGACTGACCCAAAACCAAAAAGAAAAAGTTAACACAACTAACCTCCGCCATCGAGAGGCATGCGCGTCGAAAGGGCCAGCGCCAGCAGGTAGCGGAGCCTTTAGGGGTGCATCCAAGCCCACTCGGGCAAGGTCTAGGTCAGCAGACGTAGGTCTCCCCCGAAATAGGGGTCAACATAGCCTTAGTCAAATCAGCTAACACAACAAAACAAAATATCAGAGCATAGCAAAAGAGATAATAGAAGGTAAGGCGGGAGAGACATCAACGAAAGTGAGTTTACTAAGATACAAAGTATCACCAGTAAGATCCGGCACCCAGCACCATCAACATGGGCCGCATCCGTAGGAGCCTCCGGACCTTAAGGCTCAAACAACGGGGGACGATCATAAGAATCATCTTCGATTCTTCAAGATGCTGGGCCATCGCAGAATGGCCAACCTTGCTAGAGGCAACCTCCTCGCTAGAATGAGTAGATGCAAAGTCTGCAGCACTAGCATTGCCCTCAGACTCAGAGGAGTCATCACTAAGAATATAGGGCATCGGCGCCATGGCAAAAGCAGCAGCGCCAGAAGTGATGACTGTCGCCGCGATGGATGAAGCCATCAGGTCTTCGTCCGGACGAGCAACTAAGGCCTCCAATCGACCAGCCTCCATGCTTGGTTAGGCAGCACCGACCCATCATGAGTACTCTCAGCCATAGCCATTTCTTCAGCAGAAGTGTCCTTGATGCTCTTCGCCGATTTCCTCTTCTTGAAATAACCTTCAGAACATCAAATTCCTTCGTCTTCCTAGACTCGCTCTGATTGTAGCAACGGGGGGCACAACAGACTTAGTCGCCTTCACCACCTTATCCTCAATAGACTTTAAAACCTTTTTCGGAATCTTACGTTCCCCATACTTCACTTTCATTTCTTCAAAAACCCGGTTCAACAGGGGCATAGTCCCTCCGATGACACGACGGGACAGATACTCCTTCTCAGAGATCTCGCCAATAATCAATGAGGCCGACGTCTCAACCTCAGCAATGAACTCTTCATCTATCTCATCCGCAGCACGCTCGATGTAGAAGCAAGGGGAAAACTCCCCATCTTCGCTACCAAACACAGGAAGCTTCATTTTCACCAATGTCATCCTAGGTCTAGACTTACCCAAGGGCTAGAAGTTGGCAGCAACCATCTCCTCAATAAGGTCACGACCTCTGAAAAAGCGGCAAGCCTTCGCGAAGGTAGCATCGCACGCCGCACGGTCCTCATCGACTTCCATCGGTGGCTTTACATGAGTCAAAGGCTTCATATCACCCATAGTAGAAGCAAAAGGATACTTCTTGACCTTAGGCCCAGACTTAGGCTTCATGCCGGGGGTCTTCACATAGAACCAATAGTGAGCCCAATTCTTCCCCCACTTGTTCTTTTGGGCATAGGATAACTCCAAGCCACCATCCTTCTGCCCCCTCTTTTGCCATAAAAGCGCAACTGGCAAACTAATATTCAACCTCAATCCCTCCAACCTTCACCTTCTTCGGTTGGCATTGGAGCTCATAGTAAGCACAGAATGTGTCGAGATCTAGGGCAGCGCCATAGGTCTCACAAGCGTAGCAAAACTTGCTTAATGTAAGAATTCCATTCGGTGTGAGATGATGATGTTGTACCTTAAACATCTCAAACACCAGGCGAAGGAAATAGATTGGGGGAATATAGAGGCCACATGAGAAGAAATCCTTGAACACAATAGCTTCATCAACCTCTAACTGAGAAATGGTCTCCCTACGCGAAGGACGACCCTTCCCCATCGGAAAGCATCCTTCATCCTCCAGTCTTGATTGCCTCCTCCGTCATGAGCGAAGGCCCAAAATCCCAAGACTTAGCCATTAACTTCTTCTCCTTCTTTCTCGATGAAGCAGGAACAAGGTCTCTGATGAAAGCTTCGATATTCTCTAAATTATCCTGAGCCTCCGTAGATGCGGACATACACTCTTCGTACCTCCTCGACCAACCCTCACCCCTCACATCGAGCAAGTGGGAGTAAGGACCGCTAAAAGAGGGCCAGCGGAGATCTGAACCGGTAGGCGAAACCACCTCTAAAAACTAAAGCAGAGCGAGCAATAGGAGACGATAGAAGGAACACAAGAGCGGAAGTGCAACTCGAGGCAATAAGCTAAGCAAATGAGAGCGCTCGAAACCAAAGAACGATATGCAGAACAAGAGTGAGGGGGGGCCTCCCACCAACCCACCCCTTATATAGGCCATGGAAGGGTGCCTCGACTTCCCAACGCCAATGGTCATGACTGTTCACGAGCGCATCGGGTCCAGAGCCACCGCAATGAATCAAACATTGACATGACCCAACACCAACGGTCTGATACGGGCGGCCCAGGGGGAAAACGGGGAAGCCTCCACCACTCAGCATCAGTGTTAGATTTGAGGCTCACAACCCACTCGCATTGAACCGCACCCTCAAGGGGAAACTGTTGGGACACAGATGTGCGAGTCGCAGAGGCTGGAGTGAGTGCAAAACTAACGGCAACAAAACAATTGTGTGATGTTATGTAGGGATGACAAGTAGGGCCTTCGCTTATCACCCTTGGCTGGGCGAAGGTCCGGAGCGCAGTGTCGAAGGCCTTCCAATGGAGGTACAAGGCGGAGACCGCTTGATGGAGACAGAGGCTAGGAAGACATGGGCGAAGACTGAGCGAATTCCACCATTGGGAGGAGGCTCACACTGCGGTAGAACCCTGGGCTGGAGGCGGGCTTCACATGGGTCGACGATTGTGGCCCGCGAAGCAAAGGCGGCACGGGAAAAGAAGGTCTAGAATGCCCCTGGCAGCTAGAACTGGTGGAGGAATATTCAGAGAATGTACCGTAACAGTTGTAGGGCAAAAATGTAAAGGGGGATAGTAGTAAAACAATGTCCTATAAAAGGGGGGACTAAACCCTGTGTAAAGGAGGTTGGTAAATTTATTTATGAAACCCTAATTGAGCCTAGGCCCGCCTACCATCTTCCTAGCCTTCGCCCAAGGCACCCGGCTGGGTGAAGGTCCCTCCGTGTTCCACCTGCTGGAAACATGTATTCCAACAAAGAGATTGTGTTAGCAATCCAGTATCTTTTATTTGCCCACCACAAACGGGCTACAGATTCAAAACTACAGCCCACCTTCTTTTTTTTTTAGGGGAAACTACAGCCCACCTTCTGAATGGTGCTGTTTCTGCTCGCAAAGGCCCACGCCCGCGCCCACGCAACAAACCTACCAACCCATTAGCCCACCATATGACACCGAGGAAAAGAGCACGTGCAGACAAAACACGTTTTTTTAGCCCGACGTCGAGTCGTTGAGACGCTGACCCACCAATAGAAATGCGCGACCAGCGATGACCACCTAGCACGGCCCCACCACCTTCCCACCAACCAAACCCACGCGACCTGCCAGTGCCAGATCGGAGCGCCAATAGACAGCTCGGCCGGCGAGCGTCCCACCCAAAAGTCCAAAGCCCCACCAGCCAGGCAGCCACCACCATCCTCCTCTTCCTCGAAACCGTCGAACGCACGCACCGCGCCGCCGCGTAGCCTCGCCTCGCCTCACCGTCGCCGGCCGCCGATTCAACGCGACGCGGCTTCGAATCCGGAAAAGGCATCGATGGCGGCGAAGCGCGCGGTGCTGGTGGGCATCAACTACCCGGGCACCAAAGCGGAGCTCAAGGGCTGCCACAACGACGTCGCTCGCATGCGCCGGTGCCTCGTTGACCGCTTCGGCTTCGACGAGTCCGGCATCCGCGTCCTCATCGACGACGGCTCCGCGCCGCAGCCCACGGGGGCCAACATCCGGCGGGAACTCGCGCGCCTCGTCGGGGACGCGCGGCCCGGGGACCTGCTCTTCTTCCACTACAGCGGGCACGGCACACGGCTGCCCGCCGAGACCGGGCAGGACGACGACACCGGCTACGACGAGTGCATCGTGCCCTGCGACATGAACCTTATCACAGGTGTGCGAGTTCTGCCCCTCTGTTGCTTGCTAGTTGCTATGGTGGATTGGTGGGTCGGGCTAATCGAGAAGTGGGGATCGAATTGTTGGTGGGGTTTGAGAATGACAAAATCAGATTGCTATACGTTTAATTTGTGACAGAACATGATAGCATTCTGGTACTGCAAGTGAATGATTGGATTGATTCCTACGTGACTATGAATTCATATTGCACAAATTATATTTGAACCAGAAATGGATACGATTTTAGGCCAGTAATAACGAAAAAGATTTCAGATGTCTACTCATAACCAGGATCTGCATGTTCAAAAGATGATGCTAATAATTTAGATCCGCATTATGTGTTTACTTTACCAGAGGAATACTATACATTGTAAATTTCTAGCTTGAGAGTTGAAAAATGCAATTTCTGAAGGGCTGAAACTGTTCTGATCACTTTGACTATAGTGAAACATGTTAACAAAATTTTAACTCAAATATTGCTTTCTTAAAAACAGAGTTTATCTCCTTAAAAAATGTTAAAATTTGGACCAAAAAGATCACTTTAAATACATAGCAGCACTCAGCAAACAGCTATGCCTGGATCCAATTGTGTGCCATTTTACCTAGTTAATGTTTGGATGCTCCATTCATAGAGGTTAATTTATGCACTGCAGACCAAGATTTCACGGAGCTTGTGCAAAAGGTCCCCAGTGGCTGTCTCTTTACAATAGTTTCTGATTCGTGCCACAGTGGAGGACTACTTGACAAGACCAAGGAGCAGATTGGGCACAGTACCAAGCAGAGCCAGACCCAGCGCCGGGAACTTGAAGAACGGCCTGCTTCTGACACCAGCTTCCGGGCATTCCTCAAAGATACTGTTCGGGACGTGTTTGAGTCTCAAGGAATTCACCTGCCCCACCGTAGCCATAGCCACCGCCAAGGTCACGATGACGACGACGGTGACGAAGAGTCGCGTTACATAAACACAGCTGATGCCCATGTCAAAAACCGGTCGCTACCTCTCTCGACATTGATCGAGATGCTCAAGGAGAAGACTGGGAAGGATGACATTGATGTAGGCTCAATCCGGCTAACACTTTTTAACCTCTTCGGAGACGACGCCAGCCCGAAGATAAAGAAGTTCATGAAGGTCATGCTGAACAAGTTACAGCAGGGACAGCATGGTGGCATTGTGGGCTTCATGGGCGCCCTGGCACAGGAATTCCTGAAAGCCAAGCTTGATGGCAAGGAAGAAGAGCTCGACCCAGCAATGAAACAACATGTGCACAGCGATCAAGAGGTGTACGCCGGGACGACGGCAAGGGTGCCGAGCAACGGTGTCCTGATCAGTGGGTGCCAGACCGACCAGACGTCTGCTGACGCGACCACACCGAAGGGTGTGTCCTACGGTGCGCTCAGCAATGCCATCCAGGCCATCCTCGCAGAACGCGGGATGGTAACAAACAAGGAGCTCGTGCTGAAAGCGCGCAAGATGCTGTCGAAACAGGGCTACACCCAACAGCCTGGGCTCTACTGCAGCGATGAGAATGCCAGTGTGGCTTTTATATGCTGATTTATTGGGTTTGTCCTGTGGATGACAATATTTGTATATTGTCACTGTTATTATGGTGTACGTGTGTGATGGACCGGTGGCTATGCTTTTTGCTGAAATTTGGGAAATGGCAATGGATTGTTTCTGCACAAGATGACATTCTTTGAGGTTATTATGTTTAACCACATTGACTTTTCAAAGAAAAAAAATGTTTAACCACATCACCGATACACTGACTTTTATGTTTTCTCATAATAGTAAATAAAAATATTATTTCTAAGTATTAGAAAGCTGTATTTTTCTTTTTTTTTTTTTGCCATGATGAATGATATATTTCATAGAGATGGGCATTTGTAGCTCAAAAAAATTCTTGTCTCCAAAAATTCTTGCAACTCTAATTTCATTCTAGACAGGTTAGCCAAGTGCTGAAGTGCAAGGAAGGCTTGAGTAGAGAGAGAGTTGAGTGCCTTTTGCTCCAGTTTTTCGATTTAAATTGGAATTGTGATGGAAGAAGGCTAAAACCTGAGATGTATAGATGAGTTCCTTGTGATAAAGTTTGTTGTTTTAATTTTGTGCTTATATCTTTATCTTATGAATCCAAGATTTCATTTTTTTAGTTTTGGGCACCTTTGGATGGATTTTTTATCTATTGTTTTGGCTAAGTTTTTGGCACGATTTTGGAGTGTTTTGGGGCCTTAAAACTTGTTCATGCCATTGCTTGAAATCCAACATTTATATCTCAAGTTTCTCCCTCTAAAAACTCTCTTTTGCTAGATTTTGTGATTTCTATGAGTGGGATGTTTCGGGTTGATTCTTGGGCTCAGTCTTGATTATATGAACTCAAGGGAACATATATAGGTTTGCCGATAAACAAATTCCCACGAGCAAGTTGAGTTCTTATTTTAAAGTTTTCATGACAAAATTCCAATTTGAGTAAGGAGTTTTAAAATTCTTGGTAAAACCTGGATGTTTTTGGCAAGATCTTGTGGGAATACCCTTACCATGTTCTTGGGAAGCTACGATTAAATTTTCATGAATCTTGTTGGAATACCCTTACCATGTGCTTGGGATGGTGCGAAACGATTGAACACTTTTGTGGAATTTGTACCCTTCAACTTTTGGACATCTCACTGAACTTCTGAACATCGTTGCGGAGCTTCCTCACCGCAACTTCCGAACATTTTGGAATTTCCAAAGATCTATGTTGAACTTCCGCATCTTCTTGACATCAATGTTGTTTTGATTCATTCTTACTTCCACTTTACTACACTTTTTTAGCCTTGTTCTAAGGTTTTTTTTTAGTCTCAATGATTGTGGTTTTAGATTTGCTAGAAGAGAGAGCATTGGACGAAAATAGAGATATAGTCCAATTTTCTTTTTCGTTTGCCGAAGAATTTTTTAGACTCAAATTCATTCTTTTCTGAACATCTATTCGGTCCTCGATGCATTGATAGTGTGCTTTGGTGTGAAAAAAAAGAAGATACGATGAGCTTGAAAATTAGCTCGTACGCTGTATCGTTCCGCTAGCTCAAACCATATTTTACTCCCGGTCGCGAACTGCATGAAACGTACTATATGAGTGATTGAATGTACTCGTACACGGTGACCCGCGTCTCCAGCAAATTGAAAATAGCGGGGGGAATGAACTGTGCACCTCGCACGTGGGCACCGGCACTCGAGCTCCACCAAGCCTGCACGAGCTGCCAGATCGGCGCCAAAGAAAGGCCAATCGACAACTCTCGTGTTGCAGCACCAACCCGATCGAGTTCCATTCCGGCCGCCACCAGCCCACCACCTCAATAACACACGCAAGGAAGCACAAGCGCGTCGCCTGCGTGTGCATGCGCGGCATGCCGGCGGCGATGGGGCGGAAGCGCGCGGTGCTGGTGGGCATCAATTACCCTGGCCGGGACGACGAGCTGAAGGGCTGCTTCAACGACGTGACGCGCATGCGCCGCTGCCTCATCGAGCGCTTCGGGTTCGACGAAGCCGACATCCGCGTCCTCGCCGACGCCGACCCGTCCACGCCGGCGCCCACGGGGGCCAACATCCGGCAGGAGCTCGAGCGGCTCGTCGGGGAAGCCCGGCCCGGGGACACGCTCTTCTTCCACTACAGCGGCCACGGGATGCAGCTGCCCGCAGAGACCGGGCAGGACGACGACACCGGGTACGACGAGTGCATCGTGCCATGCGACGGCAACCTCATCAAAGGTGCGGCGGGCTCCGCCTGTACTACACTCTAATTAATTTGTTGTTAGTTCTGTTCGAGCTCAATTAACTGGAGCTGTGGATGTTTTTAGTGTCTGAATTTCTCGAAGAAAATGTTTAGTTATCTGTCGATAAATGTAGTCATTTTTTTTATAAATGTGACCCAGTAAACAATTGCAGCATAGATTCTAAAGCACAATCGAACGTATAGAAATCTGACAGATTTAATACCAACAAAATCTATCAACACATAAATAGCAAAAATCTTTCTAGAAATTTTCCAAATTTAGGATATTTTGTACCCAAAATTATATTTAAACTTATGGGATTTTTTGTTTTTAATAATGTGTAAATTACTAAATTTAAGGGCCGCTTTAGATTATTTTCCAAGCGGAGGTGTTTGTCTTATATGAAAACTTTGGGTAGGTTAGATGAGATTGGAGAGTACTTTATGTTGGTTTTCAAATAGTATGTGTGGGTAATGTGGATAGATGTTTATGGGCTATATTCTCATAATGACAAATATAAATGTGATTAGGTTTAAATTCGGACTAAATATTGTGTAGTGTTATATCTTTCACCCAAACACGCCTGAGGATTCAGACCTGAATAGAATACTACTGGTGTTGCTGATTCAGGTGTGTTCGGCTGAGCTTGCTGTTGCAGCACTGCAGGCTGCAGCTGCAAGCCTGCAAAGCACCGGCTAGCCACAAATGAACACCAGAGATCGTGTAGAAGGAGAACAGCATTACATCAGCAAGATTTTCCTTGTCAGTTCTCTCGCTTTTGAAGATGATACTAATTCTCATGCATGTACAAACTGCAGACCAAGATTTCCAAGGAACTCGTGGCAAAAGTCCCAGATGGCTGCATCTTCACCATAGTTTCAGACTCGTGCCACAGCGGCGGGCTGATCGACAAGGCCAAGGAGCAGATCGGGAACAGCACTCGGCAGAACAAAACCGAGCACCCGGAGCGAGTCACCCTCACGCGGCAACCTTTCGGCGCCTGTGCCTTCCTCCTACGGATCGTCCATGGCGTGTTCGATTCACTAGGCATCCACCTCCCTCGCCTCGTCCAGAGCGGAGGAACGGAGACGAACACGAAGGCAGGGGCAAGCACACGCGCCGCCAGCATTAAAAGCCGGTCGCTGCCTCTCTCGGCATTCATCAAGATGCTCCGGGAGACCACCGGCGAGGACGACGTCGGCGTGGGCACGATTCGGACGACGCTGTTCCGTCACTTCGGCGACGACGCGAGCCCCAAGATCAAGAAGTTCGTCCAGGTCATGGCGAGCAAGCTCCGGCAGGATGGCAAGCTGGAGGGAAACGAGGCGGGACAGGTGGGCACCCTCGATGGGGCCCTGGAACAAGATCAGGCGCACGGCGACGGTGTCAATGAGGTGTACGCCGGCACCACGGCGAGCGCGCCGCCCCTGCCTCTCAATGGCGTCCTGATCAGCGGCTGCCAGACGGACCAGACCTCGGGGGACGCCACCACGGAGGAGGGCGTGTCCTACGGCTTGCTCAGCAACGCCGTCCAGACCATCCTGGCCAGGAAGCACGACGGGACGGTGACGAATAGGGAACTGGTGCTCAAAGCGCGAGAGCTGCTGTCCAGACAGGGGGCACTACTCAGCAACCTGGCCTTTACTGCAGTGATGAGCATGCCAGTTTGCCTTTCAGATGCTGAAGTATGAAGTACGGATGCAAGCGGCTAGCCCGTTACACCCCTATGCTGAAGCTGTGATATTTTGTCAAGTGGACTGCAATCTTTGTACATGACTGTATTATTTTCTCTGGTATGTGGACTTGTGGTGGGCTGGTGGCTATGATTGTTGAAATTGAGAACGAGACTGTTATGCACAAAATGATCTCTTTGTGCCTATATATATATATAATCATATATGATTTGTACAATTGTTCTAAGCTTTCTCAAAGTTTTTCATTTCTAAAAAGAAGATGGCAAATTTATCGCTTTCCATTGCCCGTGCCCGCGAAGACATATCCTAAGAACACCACTACAAAGTTTATAGAACAGATTTGCTAATTCATATCCGGTTGTTTTGCGTCCAGCTAGCAACCGGTTTTTTTACCCTAGGATTCGTACGGTCACGTACTGCCTCCTGCCGATACGATGACCGTAGGATTCGTACGGTCGCTGCCTCCTGCCGCCCGATTAGTCTGCGTCTGCCGCACGAACTTCGTTCGGTGTTTGTCGCCCGATAGCCCGAGGCCGTCGTTCGCGCGCGAGGATGCCGGCGTCCCCGTCGACGTCCTGCGGATCGAGTGCCAGGACGGCAGGACCTTTCTTCCGTTTGTAAATTTGTGAGTTTGTGAATAATTTGATGATATTTATGAACAATTTGATATATATTTCTCTGGTATCTAGATTCAATATAAAAATTTGTATTTTTTTTTAAAATTTGGCGTATATTTATGTAAGATCTTGTGTTATTCCCAAATTACATCGCTCTTTCCAATAAGTTATATTGAAAAATTATTGTAAATATAATAATAAAGTGGTATAAATATAACTATAAGACAGTGTGAGTGTATGGAAAAAATCTGATGGTTGAGAGGAGCTAAAACAACCTAGAACTGTCGTATGAATATGGGTCACCAAAGTAGATGGCTACTCTTACTGGTCTGCGGTTAACACTATGGCTTCTTTGCTCGCGTCGATGCTAAAAAGAATATTTTCAACGGAAAAAATCTAACTGGTGGTGGATTTGAACCTACCAAATACAATAACCTTTGGCTAAATTCCTCGCAATTTTTTTTTTACATGGCTGTGCTACGAAGAATTAAGGC